ATTCTACAATTTTGAAATCCCAGTCTATCCCTTCCCACCCTCTACCCCACCCCCCGCCCCGGTAACCACAAGTCTGTATTCTCTGTCCATGAGTCTATTTCTGTCCTGTATTTACGCTTTGTTTTTGTTTGTGTTTGTTTGTTTTTGTTTTTGTTTTTTAGATTCCACATATGAGCGATCTCATACGATATTTTTCTTTCTCTTTCTGGCTTACTTCACTTAGAATGACATTCTCCAGGGACATCCATGTCGCTACAAATGGTGTTATGTTGTGGGTTTTCATGGCTGAATAGTATTCCATTGTATAAATATACCACTTCTTCTTTATCCAGTCACCTGTTGATGGACATTTAGGCTGTTTCCATGTCTTGGCTATTGTATATAGTGCTGCTATGAACATTGGGGTGCAGGTGTCATTCTGAAGTAGGGTTCCTTCTGGATATATGCCCAGGAGTGGGATTCCTGGGTCATACAGTAAGTCTATTCCTAGTCTTCTGAGGAATCTCTACACTGCTTTCCATAGTGGCTACACCAAACTGCATTCCCACCAGCAGTGTAGGAGGGTTCCCCTTTCTCCACAGCCTCTCCAGCATTTGTCATTTGTGGATTTTTGAATGACAGCCATTCTGACTGGTGTGAGGTGATACCTCATTGTAGTTTTGATTTGCATTTCTCTGATAATTAATGATATTGAACATTTTTTCATGTGCCTTTTGATCATTTTTATGTCTTCCTAGAAGAATTGCTTGTTTAGGTCTTCTGCCCATTTTTGGATTGGGTTGTTTATTTTTTTCTTATTGAGTCGTATGAGCTGCTTATATATACTAGAGATCAAGCCTTTGTCGGTTTCATTTGCAAAAATTTTCTCCCATTCTGTAGGTTGTCTTGTTTTACTTCTGGTTTCCTTTGCTGTGCAGAAGCTTGTAAGTTTCATTAGGTCCCATTTGTTTATTCTTGCTTTTATTTCTTCTAGGAGAAAAATTTTTGAAATGTATGTCAGATAATGTTTTGCCTATGTTTTCCTCTAGGAGGTTTACTGTATCTTGTCTTATGTTTAAGTCTTTGATCCATTTTGAGTTGATTTTTGTGTATGGTGTAAGGGAGTGTTCTAGCTTCATTGTTCTACATGCTGCTGTCTAGTTTTCCCAACACCATTTGCTGAAGAGACTGTCTTTATTCCATTGTATATTCTTGCCTCCTTTGTCGAAGATGAGTTGACCAAAGGTTTGTGGGTTCATTTCTGGGCTCTCTATTCTGTTCCATTGGCCTATATGTCTGTTTTGGTACCAATACCATGCTGTCTTGATGACTGTGGCTCTATAGTATTGTCTGAAGTCTGGGAGAGTTATTCCTCCAGCCTCTTTCTTTCTCTTCAGTAATGCTTTGGCAATTCTAGGTCTTTGATGATTCCATATAAATTTTATTATGATTTGTTCTAGTTCTGTGAAATATGTCCATGCTATCTACATTTCAAGTGCTCAATAGCCACATGTACTTCGTGGCTATAGTATTGCATGGCAGAGTCTCATAGGATTATTCTAGCTCTAAAATTGTCTGATTCCCTTATTTGGTTTCATTAATGTTCAATACTTCCATCCTTGTAAGGATGCCTTCTCCCTTCTCCCTCCCTCTCTCCCTCTCTCTTTCCCAAACATTTCCTTCTTCAAATATATTTTGGATGACTACTCTACTTATGACACTTGAGTGGTGGACAAACAAAACTTATGGCATCTGCTTTCATGGAACTCACAGTTTAGCTGGAGAGATTGTGATTAATCAAATAAGCACACAGATGGATGCTTCATTACAAACCAAGATAAAAGAACATGATTCTATGGAATTTACCAGAAGAAAAAAAGAAAGAGAAAAGGGAGAAAGGAAACTCAATAGAGGAAACAGTATTTCTTTTAAATTGAAGTATAGTTGATTTACAATGTTGTGTTAGTTTCAGGTGTCAGTAAAGTGATTCAGTTATTCATGTATATATTCTTTTTCAGATTCTTTTTCAATATAGGTTATTATAAAGTATTGAATATATTTCCCTGTGCTATGCAGTAGGATCTTGCTGTTAATCTAATATATATATATATAAGTTTATATCTGCTAATCCCAAACTCCTAATTTATCCCTCCCTCCTTTCTGCTTTGATAACCCTGTTTGTTTTCTATGTCTGTGAGTCTCTTTCTGTTTTGTAAGTAAGTTCATTTAAATCATTTTTTTAAGATTCCACATATAAGTGATATCATATGATATTTGTCTGTCTCTGTCTGACTTACTTCACTTAGTGTGACCACCTCTAGGCCCATCCCTGTTGCTGTAAATGGCATTATTTTATTCTTTTTCATGGCTTAGTAGTATTCCATTGCATAATTATACCAGAACTTCTTTATCCAGTCATCTGTTGATGAACATTTAGGTTGTTTCGATGTCTTGGCTATCAATTTTGTAATGTTTCATCTCAAGTGGACTCTCTCCCCCAGTCTGCAGGGAGGCCACTGTGGGAGATGTCGTGTTTCTGGTGGACACCAGCATCAACCCCCAGGACAACCGCAGTGTGCGGGGCTTCTTGTACATGATGGTCAATGGCTTCAAGGTCAGCCGAGAGGCCGTCCGCGTGGGGCTGGCCCAGTATGGCGAAGAGCCCCGGTCCGAGTTCCTCCTTTCCACCTACCAACGCAAAGGCGAAGTGCTGAGACACATCCAGAGGTTTCCATTTAAGCCTGGGGGCCACAAGTTGGGCCTGGCCCTGCAGTTCCTCCTGGATCATCACTTCCAGGAGACAGCGGGGAGCCGCGCGAGCCAGGGCGTGCCCCAGGTTGCCCTGGTGCTCAGCACAGGCCAGCCGGAGGACCACGCGTGGGATCAAGCCGAGGCCTTTAGGAGGGCGGGCATCCTCCTCTATGTGGTGGGTGTCAGAGACGCGGGATCCGCGGAGCTCGGGGAGATTGCAAGTCGCCCTGCCGAGAAATTTGTCTCCATTGTTCCCAGCCTCTCTGGTCTGGGCAGCCTGGCCCCGAAGCTGAGGCAGGAACTCTGTAATACTTTGGTAAATGCAGCTCCAGCTGTTGGCCATGTCTCTCCAGGTACAAGGCTTTCCTCTTATTTCTGATCTACTTCTGATCTCTTATTCATCCCTCCCCCATATGCCTTCCATATGTGTGCATGTTTAATTTTAATAGTAAAATTTCACTAAACTGTCTACACTTTATGCTCCTCTCCAATCAATGATCAAAGACTTTCCAACTCTTTTTATAAACCCTGTGGGCTTTATGATTGCTCCCCATATGGATGTAGTGTAAGTCTGCTTTTGAAGGAAAAAATATTTGTTCCTAGGATAATATTATTCTTAGTGCTGTCACTGCTCCAAGCATGCTGCAGCTCAGGGTGTCTGAGGACCACTGTGTACAGGGTTCCTGGCATTTCGCTTCCTTTCTGTTCACAGTCTGGCTCCACTGGTTCTAAGCATTTTGAGTGAAGACCCACAGACCCCGCCCCTTTTATCCTCTCTTGCAGCTTGCGGAGAAGCAGTCCTGGCCGACATTGTCTTCCTAGTAGACAGCTCGACCAGCATCGGGCCCCAGAACTTTCAGAAAGTGAAGAACTTCCTTCACTCTGTAGTCTTGGGGCTTGACATCAGCAGTGACCAGGTTCGAGTGGGACTTGCTCAGTATAATGACAACATCTACCCAGCCTTTCAGCTGAACCAGTATCCTCTGAAGAGTGTGGTCCTGGAGCAGATCCGGAATCTGCCCTACCAGACGGGAGGCACAAACACAGGGAGTGCCCTGGAGTTCATCAGGACCAACTACTTGACTGAGGTGGCTGGCAGCCGGGCCAAGGACAGGGTTCCCCAGATAGTTATCCTGGTCACAGATGGGGAATCAAACGATGAAGTCCAGGAGGCAGCTGACCGGTTGAAAGAAGATGGGGTTGTTGTGTACGTGGTCGGGGTCAACGTCCAGGATGTCCAGGAGTTGCAAAAGATAGCCAGTGAACCATTTGAGAAGTTCCTCTTCAACACTGAAAACTTCAACATCCTGCAGGATTTCTCTGGAAGCATTCTTCAGACTCTGTGCTCGGTGGTGGAGAGCAAGATTAAAGGTAAGAAGTTGTGTCAAAATCCAACATTTCAACCAGGATGCCTAATTGTAATACAGGCCAAGAGCCACTGAGTGTAGCGGGAGGGCAGCACCAGGAGGTGTTCACCATCACTGGAGGGTGTGAGGGTGTTTCCTGGATGAAGGAGCATCTGAGCTGCGGACTGAAATTAACAGAGTTCTCATGGATAGGACAGAGCATCCTACCATGCTGTTCAGAGGAAACAGCGTGTTGTGGCGTCTGGAAGACCTTTTTCTTAATTGCAGTATAGTTGATTTACAATGTTGTGTTAGGTTCTGGTGTACAGTATAGTTACATATACATATATATATATATATGTATTCTTTTTCATTATGGGTTATTACAAGATACTGAATATAGTTCCCTGTGCTCTACAGAACTTTGTTGTTTATCTACACTGTATATAATAGTTTGTATCTGCTAATCCCAAACTCCTAATTTATCCTTTACCCCCTTCCCCTTTGTTAACCATAAGTTTGTTTTCTATGTCTGTGAGTTTGTTCCTGCTTTGTGAATAAGTTTGTTTATGTCATTGTTTTTTAGATTCCAAATATCAGTGATATCATATGATATTTGCCTTTGTATGATAATCTCTAAGTCTATCCACATTGCAGCAAATGACTTTATTTTATTCTTTTTTATGGCTGAGTGGCATCCCATTGTATATATACCACAACTTCCTTATCCAGTCATCTGTTGATGGACATTTAGGTTGCTTCCATGTCTTGGCAATTATAAATAGTGCTGCTGTGAACATTGGGGTGCATGTGTCTTTTCAAATTAGTTTTCTCCAGATATATGCCCAGGAGTGGGACTGCTGGATCATATGGCAGGTCTATGTTTAGTTTTTTAAGAACCTCCATATTGTTTTCCACAATGGCTGCACCAAATTACATTCCCACCAATCGTGTAGGAGGGTTCCCTTTTCTCCACACCCTCTCCAGCAGAAGACCTGTTTTTAAAATCCTGGCTTTGCCACTTTTTAGTTATGTGAGTATGACAAGCAGCGTCATGTTTTCACTTCACTTTTCTCATTTGCACAGTGAAGGTGCTAATACTTGCCTAGTAGGAAGGTTAATGAGGATTAAAAGTACCTTGTATTCAATCTTCATGAGGTCTTGATTTGATATGCTTTCTCTCTGTGTCTTTTCCTCCCCATTCTCTCTTTATTTCCAGAATACACCCAGCCCTATGCAGATGTAGTCTTTCTCGCTGACACGTCACAGAACACATCGTGGACCAGTTTCCAGTGGATGCGGAATTTCATCTCCAGGGTGGTGGGCATGCTGGATGTTGGCAGGGACAAGTACCGGATTGGGCTGGCTCAGTACGGTGGCCGAGGTCACACTGAATTTTTGCTTAATACCTACCAGACCCAGGATGAGATGACTGCTCACATCCATGATCACTTTGTGCTCCGGGGAGGTCCCAGGAGAACGGGCAAAGCTCTGCGATACCTTCATCAGACCTTCTTCCAGGAGGCAGCAGGAAGCCGGTTTCTCCAGGGCATTCCCCAGTATGCAGTGGTCATCACCTCAGGCAGATCTGGAGATGAGGTCGGGGATGCAGCACAGACATTGAGGGAGAAAGGCGTGAAAGTCATGTCCGTGGGTGTCCAAGACTTTGACAGGAGAGAGCTGGAGGGGATGGGGACCCCACCCCTTGTATATGAGATGCAAGGACAAGATGGTGTCAGACAGGTGACACAGGATATGAGCTCAGTGATCCAAGGGACTGGGCAGCTCGAGTTCAACAGCGAGGCAGAGAAGGAGCCGATAGCAGGTAAGGTTTGGTCCCTCGGTATGTGAGCCACCCGGTGGTCTCAGCATAATAGGAGAGTCTGGGGAAAGAGCAGAGGAGAGGGCATTCTGGGTTCCTAGTGCCAGGACAGTAGCATCAATGGATGGGGAGAGGAAGAGGCATGGGTTTGCCTCAGGCACTTACCTTGGAGTGGATAATTATGGTCATTTGTTGAGGATAATTATGGTCGCTAGCTAAGGATGCTGCGTAACAAGCCATCCAAAAAGTCAGTGGCTGAAAAGAAACATTTATTTTCATGGATCAGCTGAGCTTCACTGGGCTCAGCTTCACTGGGCTTTGCTCGTCCTGCCTGGGCTTATTCACAGGTATGGGGTTTGGCTGGGAGTTGGCTGATCTACGTTTGGTTCTGCTCCATGGCTCTCACCTTCCTCCTGGGGCCATTGGGCTAGTCTGGGCACATCCATCTCATGGTGACTACAGAGGTGTAAGAGAGAAAACCCAACTGCAGAAGCAGTTTTCAGACCTCTGCTTCATTGTCTGCTGATATTCCATTGGCTAAAGAGGGTCACATGGCTATCTTGTCATTAGTGGAGTAAGAAAATATATTCCTGAGTCGGGGGGTTGGATATAACTGGATATGGAAGAATGTAGATTCAGTCCCCAGTACCTCCATTAAAAAATAAAAATTAAAAAAAACTTTAAAAATATATTCCTCTCATGAAGTGAGGTGTAGGGAGTGAGTATTTCTGAACAGTAATCCAAGTTACCATGTGCCTTTTCCAGAAGAAGGGGCAGTCAGGCTTTTCACCATAGATTAAATGAAGTCCCTCCCTAGTTTGGCATTCAAGATGCTCAGGGGAGATGCTGTTGGCATTTTGAATGATCCAGTTCATAGCGTAGGATGGTCCTGTGAGTTGCTGAAGGTTTAACATGCC